AGCTAAGTCGCAAGTGAAAGAAAAGAGAGAGGAAAGTGTATGTCCCTTTGAATCCACTGTAGAAACTCCCCACATTGGCTGCTGTGTTGTAACGCCGAATGGGGGCTTGAAATGTTGATTCAAGACACAATTTCGCATGCGCAAGGACTAAAACAGCGTCTGTATTTTTGCAAAAGCCTTCAACCCCAATGGATTTGTCTACTGATTTCTGAACATTCAATTTCGCAGTCGTCAAAACTATCAGCACCAGATTAAAATTAAGCATGAAACCAGTGGAAATTAGCACATGTGTAATCTCGTCAGCGGTCACGTTTCACCCCTTAAACCTTTCTGCGAAAAAAAAACCTTTTGTGACTGCTGAGAAAGTTTCAGAAAGAAAGGAAAATAACAAAGTAGTCAATCATAGACACGATGGAGCACTATCCATGACTTCAACAGAATGGTTCGAGAAAAACGTGTAGTTTTCCTGTTTACTTAATGAAGGTGGACCGCTGATGTCCGTGTTTATTCACACGAAATGCAGGACATTAACTCGTAAGATTTTAGCTTGAGCTGTCATTCATTTCCTTTTAATAAAACTGATGAAAATAACAATTTGCGCATAAACAATCACCATCGCAAGCATACTTATAAAACTTCGCGACAGCTGTTACCCGTGACCACCTTGAATACTAGGCCCAGCGAACAACTCATGTGCATTGAATGATACACGTGCCTCCTAACCTTGATGAACAACTGAGCTCAAAAAATGGGGTCAAGGTAACATAGCTCGTAACATATACACGCGCTAAGTGTTGAAAGTACGATTTTTCTTGTATGGATAGCAATAACAAAAGGTTTTGGTACTCCGGATCCCTGTTAGCACTGAATCACACAAGATAATCATGGTCAGGAGCGTAGCCAGCCTATAGACTCTTACGCTCAGGGCCGGGTTGTTCAAAACGCGGTTAACCTAACCCGGGATTAGTGTAAAATTTTTAATTCAGCTTTATAGCTCTGCAAAGGGATTTTTCTTTTGTATTTTTTCGGTCAGTTTCGAGTCATATTAAGAGAAGGCCCAACAACTTCCTTTGCCCTTAAACGCGCTTTTCTACAGGAGCATTGCCAGAAATTTGGAACAATATGGCGGAGGCGGTTCTCGTGTTACAAGCAAAACGGCGCTGAAACAGTATAAGAAAATGTCTGGGAAAATATTATTTTTTCAAAATAGCTGTCTCAGAATGGGACGTTCTTTCGCTGCGTAGTTGGAAATGCAGCCTGCGTCGGTTAAAGCGTCCATCGCAACGAAGAAGAAAGACTCAAATTCAAGCCTACCTTTTCCCGAGGTATACGAGTAAACTCCTAATTGTGACTCCATTTTGCCATACAAACTCTTAAAATCTGCATAAAGGTTGATAGTTTCTAAAGAAACTGTTTGGGGCTGCGTCGGTGGGGGTAACGAAATAATTTGAATAGATCAAAAAAGTTGAAATGGTAAATTGGCCACCGTTACGATTATAAAAGCTGACGTTTCGAGCGTTGGCCCTTCGTTGGAGCGAATAGAGGAATTGTGGGTTGTGTGTGCTTTTAAAGGAAGAAAAAGGAGCTACGTGATTGGTGGCAACATGGCAACGAGAAAAACACGAATAAATCATATCAATCAATCAATCAATTATATTCTTTATTTAAACACGATGAGGTTTAAAGCTGGGGGCTTGTGGGGTCGTGTGAATATAATTACAATAAAAATAAGAATAGTGTCCCTTGATATGTAAGTAACCATTTCTTGTTTGACAAATCGGTGTTTTCGCTCGCATTGTTATTTCACTGTTCCGCTTGGAGACACACGGTTAAACAATACTCACGTGCAAGGAGTTAAGATGTAACTTATTAACTATTACTATTTTTATCATCCAATTACGGGTCGGAGCCATTCCTGTATTTAGTCGCTAGTATTGTTTGGCCCTACCGCCATGTTTGTCCCCTTGTTCGTCAAACGCTGAGTGGAGAGTTTGGAAAACGGCGTGTGGTTTTTAGTGTAGGAATCGGCCAGCCAATACCCTTTCCTGATTGGCTGATAGCATTGCAAGGGTTTACCTTCTCTGTGTACCCATTTCAATGGTTTATTGTTTATCGTTTTGATGAAGAAAAACAGCCAGTAGCACAGTGTTTTGAATTTTTTTTTCCATTTTTCTTGACATAACCAACCCGATGTTTTTTTTTTATTTTTTTTTTAAACTCCAGCGGTTAAAATATATATCCAGCATTTCGCGCGCATATTACCTACTTTTGGGTTTCACGTGGGAAACTGGTGATAGAAAAGTTTACCAAGCAAATGGCCTTGTCTATCTATAGTTTCATTCTTCTAAACTTCGCTTCGTCTTATCAACGTCAGCAATGCATTTGAAATGCAAACTCACATATTATTGTTTAAAGTGCAAAATGACCCATTCGCGAAAAAAAAGGGTAAGGTATAGGGTCTCGTCTTGTTGTTGTCGTTGTTTTTTTTTTACAACAGTTTGCTCGTAGAACCTCTAAAATATTTAAGAACGTGTCCACCTGAAAACCATGCAGACGAATCTACACGAACCCCTACTGAATTCGCTCAAATTTGGCTCATTTGTTGCCCACAATGAGCCTACATTCTAGACCAAACGGTTTATCCAGGTACTAATTTTTTTTAGGGAGTTATACTAGTTTTAAGTTTTGTCCAAAAATGCGCAAAAATCCGTGCCAAAAATGTAGTGAATTAATGATGCAGGTGTTTCTCCAAAATCTCAAGCCAACAAAAAATATTTCGTTAAGTGAAAGTAGAAACCTAGATCTTTATGTACACACATAAAAATATATTATTGTCTGCTTTTATATTTGTGAGCCATCAATCAAACTTGACAATTTTCACCATTTTGCGAAATAATGGAAAATACCCCCTAAAATAGCGGGAAAAAGCAAATAAGCGGCCATATTTTGATTCATTTCAATGGTTTTTCCAGCTTGGACAATTGATGATCTAAGCAATTACGAAAATAAAAGTGTGTGATGTTTACAGTTTAGGTGAAGAATTTGCCCTTGAAGTACGGCAATCCGGCGTGCCTGGGAGGGTCACGTGACACGTCCCGGAATGTCGTAATACAGATTCCACTTGTTCATAGGTCTCCATAGCGCGAGGAAAACTTCGAGAAGATCTTTAGGAGTATTTTGAAAAACCATTTTCATGTTTCATTCCAGTTTTATCTCATCTAGAAATCATATAGGAAGCCCGGCCGCTTTTTATTTCATTTATTTATTTTTTATTGCACAACAACTTCTAGGCCCTTTTAAGTAAGAAAAGTACTTATTTGTTTGCAGTAAAAGCAAAGTAATGATCAAGTATATCGAAAATGCAAATTCAAAATATTTTGGCTATGTTTGTTTTCCGACGGCATTATTTTGGTAACGCGCTGAGAGGATTGCTTGACACGCACAGACACCGACATTTCCCACGCTTTCCATGCATAACCATACCAGCAGACATTTCGTAAAGATGGGCGATTTCAAATTGATAATAGTACCCTGTTACCTTGGGGGTCCTGTGGCACTATTAACAGATCGTTTTCGATGTGTAAAGACCCCCTGTAAAGCATTTTATCTTATCTGTTCAAACAAGTGGCCAGTGTGAGTATTGAAGAATCTCTGAGCAGTTTCCAGCCGCAGCCGTAATTTTAAAATGCTATATATGGTTGCGTGTATAAAGTCAGCGATCGGCCGGTAGTTTCCCATGTACACCTGAGCTTGGCAAGTGTACTTTTATTATAGCACTCTAAATCGGATTTGTTTCATCAGGTACATTTCATAAATCTAATATTGTGTATTCGAATATAATATGAGCCCAGAATGTCTTCACTAGAATCAGTGACATGTTTAACCAGATGTCAACAGATTACGGTCATAATACCCATCTGTCATTCGCCCGTTGTCGTGAGCGAAATGCCGATACATAATATCGCTTTCGCATGGCTATACGTACGTAACTTCACACAGATTTTATCACCTGTATATACTCCTAAACAAATAAACTTTATGGAAATGGAGTAATTTTGAGCAGAAACATGGCCGCATCAGAGATATTTTAAGAGATTTTCACTAGAAACTGGAATCGTGAAAAATTTCGATTTTTGAAGGTTTTCTTGAAACATTAATATTTTCGAACATAGTTATCGCATCCTCTTCAAATTTAGTTGACTCGAATAAGTATACTATTCATTTGAAACTGGCAAAGATTCTTTATTATATCTGCACCCAATAGTCTCTGAGCAAGTTGTAATCTTCATGGTATAATTTACCATGATTTTGCTTAAAATTGTGTCATTTCAGTCGAACCGCTGTATCTCGTGAACTGTTCGGACTTTGGGAAAAATATTTGGCAGGCTTTTAACTTGGACTAATACCAGTATGTACACAAAATAGCATCAAATTCTGGAGGGTACCATGTGGACTCAAATTTTGATATTGCTTGGATCTCACGTAGACACGTTTTTAAGTGTCCAAACACGCAAGAAAACCTTTCAAACATCGTCTTTGGTCTCTTTTGCTCGAAATATGAAGATGTCCCAGGGTACCTGGAAGATATAATGCATATCGGTTGTTTTTCTTCGATTTTTTTTTTTCTTTTTTACAGATAGCTTGTTTATCATTCATCAAGGGCACCCTCCCAAATGCAACCATCAACTACGTACAAAAAGCCTAAATTTATAACTTGATATCTTATTTAAAAATGTTCCAAACAATCTTTTTCAAAGACTACAAGTTGCATTCGCCCTACAAGCTTGTGCAATTTTGTTGTCTTTGAAAAATGTACTCGTGCACTTAACACCAGATCGTACTCAAAATCATGTTTTACCTATACTTATAAGACTAACCTTTGCACCACATTCTTTTGTATCCCTGGAGGATCAGTTTTGCTGACAGTTTTAATTTTGTTAGGGGATCTATTTCAAGAGAGATGGAAAACTGACAACAGAAAAAAACTCTTCAAAAGAATATAATGCATACTTTCTGAATCATATTTTATTTGCAATGACAGATCAATCATTTATTTACAAGGCTAATTCCCCAATTAACAAACAACTAAATGTTCTTAAAAGCATTACTTTGCATCAAGTAAAACTTGTACCCAGGATTTTTTTAAAAAAAATTTACCCTATTTACAATATCATTGTACGAATAATGGGCTTTAAGCTTTCTTCTGACAACACTGGGTTAAATATGCATTTTTGACATTACCAACTGGCAGAGGCCAAAATGAAGGGTTTCTCTGTCTCCATTTACTTTCTCCAAAAAAATACAGGCTCCATAACTGAATTTTTTCAAGGTAACAACATTAGCATAACACAATACATCATTCCTTTAAAAATTGTCTTAAATCATAATCTATTGCAACTAAATCTGGTTTCCAGAAACTTTAAACAAATTATTTTCAATCAACATTACACAAATCAACTTATTATTATAAGCAACAGAATACAGAAGTCAGCCTTTGTAACACTCTACACAGCTAAGGTGCTCTTTAACCTCTCAAACCTTTTGAAACCAGTACATCTTTTTCTAATCAATTACAAATTAACCTAAAATGGAGACATGTCAAACGGAATCATCTGCAAGAGAATGAAAAAAAGTGTATAATTTAGTAATTTTAGATAAAATTTTCCATTCACTCCAAATTTGAAAAATGATTTTGGTCTGAAATTTAATTGATCATGAATAGCTATATTTTGTGCTTGACCTTCTTTCTCTGAATTCAGAATTCCTGGAAATTTTCTGTTTCATATGCAATTTTGTTTGGTTTTAATCTCCTGGCTCTGTCCACTTGATAAACAAAATAACCACCTGTGATGAAGTAAACTGTATGAGTGTGTGACTAAACTAAACACCTTCCTTAAATACTGACTCCATGTACCTCTATGATATTTAGCACACAGTTTGTAAGTTCTTGAACTGGTTCAATTTGACCAGTGGCTTGCTTTTGTTCTATTACTCTTTAATGTTGTTTATCGCCTTGTAAACTATTCATTGGGTGAAGATTTTCCCAAAAGGAACTCATAAGTGCATTCATGATTTGATTTAAACTCCATTGTGAGTAACGGTTATATCTTCAAGATTCAATATATTGAACAATTATTCGCCGAAGGCGAGATGAATATCGTCGAATAATCTCCAAGATGAAGTCGAGGGGATCATTCGACAATATTCACCAAACCTGAGGCGAATAATTGTTTTAGTATAATTTCAGAGCTGAACAACAGAGAAATTTCTAAAATCATAACATTTTAGTAACATTTATCAACATTTTATTTTAACATTTTATATAAACTGCATGGAGCAGTTTATATAGCATCATATAAGGAACCACTCGACCAATCAGATTGCTGGAAACTCTTTGCTCAGCTCTGAAATCATACTAAATAGTAATATCACCAGGTCCTTCTAAACAAAAGAAACCTCCAATGCATTGACAAATTTTTCTTACACTGGTTAGAATGTTCTTAAAACTAAAAATTGGTTGGGGTAAATGCACAGGAAGCATTCATCATGTGAAAAATTAGAAACAGATAACACCCACTTTGAAACAAAAATTTTGTGCATGTTACTTAATAAGTTTTTTTGGTTGAGTGATCTTTTGCCACTGTTAACTCTCTTATCATTAATTAGGCCAATGTGTCAACAAAGGAACTAATGCAGAAAACAAGAACTGCAGGCATAAAACATAAAATAATCTAAACGGGCACCAGGTGTGAAATTTAAACACCTATATGGTTGAGTCTATCCCCAATTTTTGTAAATTTTGGTGCCTGTTTTAAATCTAGGCAGATTAATGAATCTTCCTTTTAAGGGAGACAGAATTTTTAGAAGTTTGACAACAACTTGTTACAGCATTGGAGGTTCCACCTTCTACAGCTTCAGCTTCTGTATGCATTAGCAAACTCACCATGATACCACCATCTTGTTTTCTTTGGACTTTTATGACATGTTTTAACATACCAGTTATTATCAGGAGGTTGTTTCTAAAATGATAATTAAAAAATTATTTAATTGGTGCTGTCAAATTATATGGTAAGCATTGTTATCAAGGAAACTAAACATAGGCTGGTTTCCACATGAATGTGGGAAATTCAGCGGGCACCAGAGATCACCTACTTACCCATGCCCTATAGCGAATGTCAGCAAGTAAATAAGAAAATCACAAAATATTGTACTGCACAAGTACACTTAAATGAAATCAACAATCCAACAGTTGAAAGCTACATGGTAATCAGGCTGTACAAAAGTTTTCTCTTTTTTGTAACTTATTATAACTTTTTGTAAGTTCCCATCGTGGACTTACAAAAGAAATAGATAAAAAACTAACACAATAGAAACATGCCAGCTCAAATTTGATTCTTGCTTTAAAATTTAAACCATGATACCTAATACTTATCCAGGGCCTAGTAATTTAACTACAGTCTTTCCATTCTTAAAATCTATTTGTCCCCAAACCATTTTTTATTATGACTGAGGAGGTCTATTGCCCCATTCATTCAGCTCTAAGCAGCTATTCTTTCCCTACAAGTCCCGCTGTGTGCAATAAAATTCATTTACACATGAGCTCATGCTCTCCCAAACAATGATGATGACGATATACTGCAGTGGGAAAAAATGAATTTAAAAAAAAAAACATTTTATGCATGCTCCCTGGAAGGACTATTGAGCTTACCTTTTCTTGACAACTACTTAGCATACTGACAATACTGAGACAGACGGATTCCACTGAGAGAGCAGGAGACCAGTCATCCGTCAGGATTGACAAGCAGATATGTCCATTACTATAAACATGAGGATGGACAGGGATATTTGACCCTCCAAATATTACCTGCATCAACAAAAAAATTGTCATTAGTGATTGTAAGGGTGACAGTTCTTTCTCTTGTGCTTGCATGATCTATTTTATAAAGCATAACCCTTCAAAATTGCTAAAACAAACACTTTCCATTGCTTTGTTCATATTAACCTCTTAACTAGCTTGCATGCAGACATCTCCTATTTCCTTAGTTGCACACGGAAAAGGGACATCTGCGTAACACCATCACAAATTGTGTTCCAGTGTCCTGCTGGGTCCTCAATATCTTGGCAACAGGCTGTGATGGGCTGACACCCAGTTTCAAATTTAATTGATTAAATGCTGATTGGTTGTTATCAAATCTAGTCTGATGGTTTTCCAGCCAAAACAAATAAAAACATGTGCAATTGTTTGCTGTGTGTTTTTGTCAATCAAAGACAAGGAAACTATTTCTTTACAATTTTCTGTGCATGATACATCACATCATATTTGTAAACAGTGTCTGATAAAACTGCAAATGTAGCATGGACTTCACACCAACTCACCAGAACTTGAAGAAGAAATTTTTCAAAGCTACAGTTCCAAAACCCCTATGGTAGGGCTTTCTATCAAGAAAAAGGCCGTACAGGTATGTGATTGAACTGCAGAATGGACTAGAATTCTTTTAGAGGAATTGTCAAACCTTTGTGACTCAATTCATTCATGACTGGAATCACGTAAAAAATCAAATATTTCCCATATCCAGTCAGAAGATCTTGCATAGAGCCTTTAAGCTCTCTTCTTGCTTGGGATAAAGCAATGAGACATTAAACACTTCTCAAACATGCTTCACAGCAGCATGTTATTTCATAATTTATGCCAAATTAAATACCCTGCCAGCAGGATGCTGGAACACAATTAGTGACGGTGTTACGCAACGTTCCTCTTCCGCGTACAACAAAGGAAACAGGAGCTGTCTACAAGCAGGCTACATCTTAACTCATGAGTGACCAAGGCAGAATTTCTCGCTATAATATCAATACAATATCAAGCAGACAAGTCATGTGAATAAAAAGATATATTAATTACAGGATTATTAGTTGATCCAATAGCAAATTCCCCAAACTAACATTACAACAATGACATGAAAGACAGCGAGGAGGACTACTACTAAGATCTTGGGAGTTTAACAGTTAAGGCACAGTACAAGTAGTTAAAACTTTTTCCAGTTGCCAACCATAATATGCAAATATATCTTGGAGATATTATCTCCAAGGTATATTTGCATATTTTAAACATCATTACCAAGAGGTTGGGTAAACAACACTCATTAAACTCCAAACTATTTAAAATGCAGATACTAACTCAGTGAAATAGGAAAAATAATCTTTACCTCGGGTGACTCAAAAGGATATTTAGATCCAAATTTAAATTCTAGCTGAAATTTTTCCCCATCGTATAATGTCCCTAAATAACGAAAATACACACAATATTAAAAATTCGAGTAAATTTTATAAATAAAAGAATAAAGAAATAAAGAAATCGCCGCTAACTTTGTCCTGTGACTTTCTATTTGTAGTAATTTGAAGAGCAAATTTATCTTTATGATCAACTCTGTTGAATGAAGGAGACTCTTTCCTTTACAACGCTCATATCGACTGTTTTATTTCTGAATCCGACTACCCACTGAATTTAAATAGTGTAAACAAGAATAAACAACGATAACCAGTTTTGCAAGGGTTTACAAAGACACAGATGAATTAAGGCCAACACAGCGCCCATCGTCAAACATTAAGTTACTTTGAGCTCCGCTGTACTGTTTATTGAAATACTTTAGGATAAATAATATAACAAACTGATCTACCTGGAGCCCCTTCTACATGAATTATCCACCTTGAAAGAGAAAAATCGCACAAACATTTACTAAAACGAAATTCACGGAAGTACAAACATCCTCTCAAATCCGACCAATTAAGTCGAGCTCTCCTTGATTGACATCAGAGAAAAATAACTCATAACTTACGTAGCAAGATTTGAAGATACTGAATCACTGTCAAGATGCATTCCAGGAGGTGGTTTCGTTTTGATTTCCTTTAACTCTTTTTGCAATCTTCTTTGCCAAGCCGCCATTTTGACAGACTGTATGGTTACACTGTTATGGTTGCCTCGATATGGTCCAAAGGCATGAGCACAGTGTTAAATAGGCTCCACTCCACCGCAGGTATGACGCAAAGATAACGTAACAAATGTTTCTCCTCTAAGTCATTGAACAAGTTAAGCTCATTATGTCAAATATTTATGTAACCAATGACTCAACCGTGTTAAATTAAATTATATTTTGGTTTAAACTGTTCCATCATCGGAATAAAATATATGTCAGCCAGCTCAAGGAAGACTTAAGGCACTGTGATGGTATGATCACAAGTATAGAAATATTGCCATGAAAACTTTCTCCCGCTAGGTGATTATCATCTGCCATCTATATAAATACTTTGACGTAATAATAAATTCATACGGGTTATCTTTCATTCTCTTACGTTTACCTTTTTCTTATTCGACTTAATCACTTCGGCTTTGTCATTTTCCCTTTAACCTTTAACATTCCCCTTCTTAACACTACATCAGAATGCATGTTCTCAAACATTTCCTACGGCGCTGAAAGGGAGAATTTGTTTATTATTAAAGATCTTCTTATGTCAGTGAACATTTCGTAACTTGTCGTGACCTTAACGTTTGATTCAAGGGTGATATTGTATGGAGAAATTGGATGCTAGTCACTCTTAGGCCGGGGTCAGAGGATAAAAGAATAAGTCTTTTGTTGTAGGAATTACTTTAAGCACAGTTTTCTTCACACAATAAAGGCATATAAACCTACATGTACTGCCACAAGACGTTTATAGTTCGCATAGTTTGTACGGGGATGAATTCATAGTATTTAGCACAATGTGAACATATTTTGCTTGCGTTACAAACCTACTGCACTACTAGTTAAGGTAGTCTCCATCACGAGAAGTCGGAAGTCGGAAGTCGGAAGTCCCTCCTCGGCTTTCGTATTTAAGTATAGCCGGCAGAACAATAACTTTTTTTTAAATTTTTAATTTAATTATTTCTTTTTACTTGAGGGAGAAGGCGAGCGCGATGGTTGATTTAAAGACGCGTCACTTATTTCTATGTTTTTTTAAATCAAAGCAATCATTTGATGAGGCACGAACAAGCACAAACCAACAGTGAAAAGGGAAAGTTTCGGTGTCACAGTCATGATCGTCATTTCTAATGTTATAATCATATCATATAATAAGCTAGATTTTACACGCATTTTGATTGGGTCTTTCTTCTGATCTATTGGCGTAAAAAAGGTAAAGTCTGTATATAAGCCAGGTGGCTCATCAGGCCGGCGCTTAACTCCGGTTTCCGTAGCATGAAGCGACTAGGAGTATTTCTACCCCCCCCCCCCCCCCGATGGGATGCTAGTCCATCGCAGGGTTACCCCTAGCATTAAATTCGCCAGTACCAATTTAAACACTTGGGGAAAGAAAGGCACTGTGAGAGCAAAGTGTCTCGATCTATCTATTACCATGCAAACGCATAAATGACGTCACCATTAATAACATTTTGCTTTTTATCATACTAAACAAATAGATTCCATTTTCTGTGGGTGTGTATAGTAACAAATTGAAGACGTCAAAAAGTCATGAGAACATTAGTACCAGACTCGGTTGCGCCTCGTGTGCCATTTTCTTTGCTCTCGACACATTCTGACATCATCTGTGATCCATCGCTGAACTAACGTACGGCAACATGGAATCTACTTTTGATAAAGCTTTGAGCACAAAAATCGGCGTCACTTTGCATAATTAGAGAGATTTAGCACTGCGTTTACGTGAAACGTGAACGGCAAGAGTGACCACGTGACCTAGTTTTTCCCCGCCATTTTTTAACGTTTGCCGGTTGTTCTTTTGTGTTTCTACGTAAAAGTTTCGACGTCATTTTGATATAAATTTCGCCTGATGGAGAGCACGTCACTGGCTCATTTTAACGAATAAACGAACGAACGACGAACGAAATACTGGAAAAATGGATAGCTGAATAAAGGAAGGGATCAGCTTTATTTATGAATCGTAATAATTTCAAAATGGAATTGTTAAAAAAAGAAATCTAATGAAACGTTCGCCCTCCTTTACGAAATATTACTTTTCTTCTGGCATATGAATACAAACTTCATTGAAAATTGATTAATAAAACGAAAACCAAATGTTCAAAACAAAATGTTATCCAAAGGGATCAGTGAAGGAAAAGGGATCATTTTTGCCTACAGCGCTGATTGTACAGCGTAAATTTGATGCTATTGGAGGAGGTTATTTTGGAGATTAAGAAGTGTACTTTTGGTTCGCGTAGACGTAATCGTTGTGTAGTAGACAGAAAAAAATATGATTATTAGGACCGTCCACCCGGACAAAGAAGGTTGCTATGGATGAGAAGTGCCCATTGGAGGTTCATTGCTTCATAGTTTGGGCGTCACAGGGAACCGGTAGAACATGGTCCACTGTGCATTCTCTCGACGATGTCGAGAGTTGGTCGTTCATGGGCATGACCTACAATCTGTTCCAAACCGGTACACCGACCAACTTCACGTGAGATTAAACACGTCACAACGCCATGGGAGTAAGAGCACGCCACATGGTCACATGCGAACGTATACTGCACATGGTCACGTGCGCAAGTGAGATCTACTCTGTATGATGGACGTCTTGACTATCCTGGGTCGTATGTGAATTCTTTGGGAGCTGGAGATGTTTTGTTGACTCTAAAACACAGTTGGACGGGAAAAACTTTTAAAAATTCAATTCAGCACCAAGTTTCCTGACCAGGCTTATTATCGGTTGGCATTGGAAAAACCAAACAAAGCTCATTTTGATACCACTTACCCACTTGAACGAATTCGTTCTTTGTGACGCTTTTTCTTCAGTTTCCTCTTCTGATTCTTAGACAGTTTACACACCTGCTCTGATGATTTTGAAAGATCAGACCCAGTGCCACGCGCTACATGTTCTCTGCTCTTTTCATCTTTTGGTTCCTCTCTATTTTCGGGTGCTGTACTGAGACTCTCTGAAAACAAAACACAAAAAAATCTCCTTTTCACGTTATGTGTTGTGTAATAGTTTGTCTTCAAGCGCGGGATTCAGCGCGGCGAATATTTGGTCGCCATATCGGACGAATGGCAGATTTGGCTTTGTCGCTGGTCTCAGATCTTCCACCCGTCCAATATGACCAACCGAGTATTCGCCGCGCTGAATCTCGCGCTTGAAAACACAAACTACCGCCTGCAAGCGAGTTACCTATGATACCGTGGGGTTTGCTTTAGTATGTCATGTAATTGGTATGAAAAAAATCACGCCACCGTTTCGATCTTAACTACAATCTCATGCGATTTTATGAATTGGGTTTTCTTGGGCTTTTAGCTTTCTTACAGGCGGCAGTCGGTATGCGCGAGGTCCAGCGCGGTGAATATATCTGGTCGCCATATTGGACGGGCAGAAGATCTAGGATGAGTGACAAAGTGAGGGGGAGGGCGAGGAAGAGGGGGAAGGTGTTTCTGGATTCCCCCTCCCCCTCGAGTTCCTGATCCGGCCACACGTTAGACGTCTCACCTGGCAAAGACACGAGTTTTTCAACACCAATTAGTCTTGAAGGGAGGGACGGTGTGGCTTGCTCATCTCGTGAAGAAACCTTACGTCGAGGAAAATTGATATCTGATGACAAAATAAGTAATCACAAATATCTCATCAAACAGCCTGTATATTGTACACCAAGAGCCATTGGCCCAGAACGTGGAGAACGTGAACGACGACGCCACGGTTAATTTTTATAATTCCTATTTCTAATTGAACGCTGTGTTCCATACTCAGTTTCGGGATAGTTTTGACAGTGCGTAACAAACTAAATGACTTGGAGAGATGCGCAAGGTTCGTAGGTAAAATACAAGTTCATTTTTTAACCGGGGTTTTCCATGGCGTCGCCATCATCGTTTCTTAAACTCACTAGTTAGGGCCTGCTTGCAGGCAATTTTCATCCAAAAAAGCCCCGCTCTTCAACATAAACCTGACTTTCTGACCTGATTTCTTAACAAATTCTTTAACAAAACAACACAAACAAAAACAGCAACAACAAAGACCTCGATGTCATTCACTCCAGTCAAATACGAAGAAACAAATCGATATAGCTACAACAAAGACGAGTTCCTGATCCGGCCACATGTCAGACGCTACCTTCAACATTGCTCAGCTTTCGTTTCCCACTTTCAGTGGGTATTTCCGGCGAGTCTTGTTTTACTGTTCTGACCGAGGATTGTGAAGTAGTCTCCAAATCACCGTCGTCATCATCATCATCATCATTATCATCGATATCTGAGTCTTCTTCTGAAGGGAACAACTTGGTCAGGACTCTCTGGCGAAAAACTGAAAAAAAAAAATAAAAAAATAACAATCAGCGTTGTTCTGGTCTGAGCTGTTTAAATTTAGATTTAGCAATCCTGTCAATTCCTCTCTTGTTTCATTGGCTAAAGCAGAAATTAAAAAATGCTGGTTATGTGGGAACAGAAGACAAAACAAATGGAGTAGTGTCGTAGCAGAATGGAGAATTGAAAATCAGATCTCGTGAGTTAAAGAGATAAGAAGATCTAAGGCGTGTTTACAGTATAAACGTGTTGATACTAATCTGACTTACAGCTTCGATATCCTCACAATCAACTCCCCCCCCCCCCCGCCCGAACAAGGACACCCCAAAACTGACTTTCAGCAGCTTCGTTGTTGGGTCGAAAGCATTCACTCGACACTTATCACAATTCTTACATTTATCTCTGGCTGTTGCCATCCTTTCAGTAAAGTGGGCTGTTCTGTGATCTAGGAGTAAAGAGAGGTAAAATAAACGACACGTGCTTTGTTCTGCCAACTTCTAAATACGTAGTCCATTTAACAGTTGCGTGCTTGGTTGCCAAGCCTTTGAACAGGAGTGAGGCTAAGGGTGACCTTGTCATGATACAAACGTTGCTTCTTTTCAAATAAATAACTTTGTGATCATGCTAACTAGATATTGGTCTCTATCACAACAATGTCACCTTCAGCCTCACCCCAAATCAAAAGCTTAGCGACTAAGTAAACAACTGTGAAATAGCCTATTACTTTCACTTTACTCTGGGCTCTTTCAGATTACATTCCAGTAACGCAGTTCCTCACTTGAATATCAATCTGAGAGTAGAACCACAACAGCCAGCCAATCAGAGTAAAGGTTCTCAACACCACAAGCCAATGTGAACACAAAGAACGAACGAAAAAGAGCCAAGTACATGTACTACGGTTAAAATGAAATTTACAAGAGCCTATTGAGGGACTGGGGAGAGACGGTCTGGTGTGGGAATGAATGGATGCGATATAACACCCCTAATCATTATTTTTCTTCTTATCATTATTACTATTAATATTACTATTATTATTATTATTATCATTATTATTATTATTATTGTTGTTGTTGTTATCATTATTTCTTATTTTTTATAACTTGTTTCTTTTCATGGCAGAGACGGATAATTTTATTTTGTCCTTACTTAATTTAACACACCGCACTTCCTGCAAGGGTTTCTGGGTTTCTGATCGCATCTGAACCACAAGGGGGGTATTTCGGAAATCGTTATTGACACAGTGATTGTATTTTTAATGATTTATATGTTTCTTAATGTTCTATAGTGCTTAATTCTTACTTCAGTTTATTTCTGTAAATAATGTACATATTATTCTAATAAAATTATCATTATTACTATCATTATTTTAACTATAACTATTACTATTATTATTCTTGATAGGTAGAACTTGTTTTTTGTTCGTAAAAGATGCTCATGCTAGCATTAGGTAACACCGTCAACATACATAAGATTAAAAGAGACCAATGATCGTTTTTCTGGAAAAAACGCTGAGAAAATGCACATAAAAAGTTACGCTAAATATAGCAGTTTCTAGTAAATTCGCTTAAGCATTGGAAGCATTTTTAACATATACGAAAAAGAGTTTTATCCCAGGGCGAAATGCCATGGCTTTTGTTTCACAGTTCGCCAGCGGATAAGTCTCTGATTGCTTTCCAGGTTTCTTTTATTATTCACCGTGTTTAGGGTGTGAGAGACTGGCTGACGTTGTCGGAAGAGGCTTTTGAGCCAAGGAGGATCACCCCCGGTGCACGGCGCAGCCCTGACCAACAAGCTGTCGAATTTGCGACCGCTGTGTACATCCATTTTACACCCTCATTGTATTCGAGAATATTTTCCCCTCACTTTCCTCACAGTTTGCTTAAAGAAAACCGAGTGACTTGCATCAAAAACAAAAATGGTCTCCTTATCCACAGAACTGTTTTAAATATATGAGATTTGTTTCTTTGTGGCACGTTTTCGGCATTGTGAAAGTTTTTTCTTGGTTAAAAATTCTACTTGGATATAGGTGATTGTTTATATAAATATGGGAGACTTATTTCAATGCGATCTAGTTGTTACTATTCAAAGTAATTAAATTGGCGGAGCCTCCCATGATCAACAGCGAAGATCGTGCAACTGCTCCGCTGGGAAAGTTTACGAAATGGCGATTGCGAGACCTCTCTCACACTAAGCGAAAGGTATTTCAATATACCATTATATGGCAATGATAGACCGTGGTGTGTGGAGGAATAATTTTGCTGTTAAGGCCCGAGTTGGAACCCGGACTTATTTAAAATATATGACAAGACTGTTATTTAAAATATATGATAAGACTTTCAATGAGCAAACGGTACTGAATTCTGAGACCTATTTTCGCCCTCTATCTTGCATAGTGAAACGGTTGCTAAAGCTTGTTTAGAAAATCCCTCGCACACAGGTTTTAGCGAGTAAAACTGCGAGCTCTATGACTTGGCTCGTACAGTGGATTTCTATGGAGAAGAATACTGAAATTTTGATCTGAATAAATTCACAGGAATGTGGAGAGGTTTAGAAAATGCTGGTTCCCAGACCTCTGTCTCGGACGTGCTTTGATTCCACGTGGAGTTTTGCACTTCCTGTCGTGTCAGTTCACGTTTTCCTCTTTCAGCAAAGCTGAAGGAATTCAACAGATCGCCCCATTTTTTTTTTAATTTATTTTTTTTTCGCCAACGAGCTAACAGGAACTTCTCGTGACGCACAAATGTTCAGAAAGCGTGGCTCGCGCAAGTAAAGATCTAGAAACCTAATTGGAACGCTTAACATCAAATTAGCCACGAAAATGCGTTCATCCTTTTAAGAAATTAAGGCTCGATCTGACTGTGAGGCATTTGAAAAATCTAATAATTCACAAAAAGGTCATAAGTGAAACTTAATGGAATTGTTTCCCATGACATTCGGCTTAAAAAAATAAATCATGCTATTCAATGTAATATCAGAATAAAAATTGCCGTTTCTGTCTATAAAGTGAAAAATTTGGCCTGGTCGTGATGGCAAGCAACTACAATACGTGAAGAACCGAGATGCAGCTGATTCTTGCAGGTCTCGGAAATAAAATCAAAACAAACATGGAAACTGGAGCTCTGTTCAACTTTCAGTTTCGACCAGAGAGCAGAAAACTGAAATTGAAATAAATGATTACCAATCCGCTTAGGCAATATCGAAAATAGTCTCACGACCCTCTGAACCAAAATAAGTTACGCAGGACCTGTATATATTAGACCTGAGACCGAAAAAAGACATCTGCCAAAAATAAATAACGTCTATGTCACGCACAAAAAAGTCAACTTAACATTTGAAGAGGTTGTTTGCGTGCATGAAATCAAGTGAAACTGGCGTGAGAACTTCGACTTTGGCAGGTGACAAGGAACGTGCAACTTCAACTGACACGCACGAATTAACAGAGCTTATCTTTCTTTTCGATAAATTAAGGGGCACGAAGTACAAGAATCAAATACACGAATCCCTTCCTCCGTGAAAAGAGCATAAATAGCGGTAGTAAACCTTTTGCTTTAAGAAAAAAATCGAAAACTTCTAAGCACAGCTTTAAAGAAAAGCTCTATGACTCCTGAGCTAATTTTATATCTCATGAGGTGTTCCGTAAAGAGTGCTTGTATCACAACTGTAAATGAAACCAGCAAATTGTCATTTACGACGATTTTATGTCAATCAACAACCAATAGCTTGAATGGAGAACAATTTCAGCCAATCAAATCACGTTCTTTAATGGTTGCCACGCGAGCAAAGGCTCGAGTCATCTCCATTCAACAATTAACATCCATCTGCGGTTGAAATGCAAAATAGGTTGTCATGCAAGGCTAACCTCAATGGCAACAGCTCACCCTATTAAAAAAAGAAATGATAATAAAAATAACAAAGTGGATCACCAGCTTGGACGCCATACTCAAACTCTCAGGATTTCATACCGGTCCAAGAAAGAGAAAGAAGGGTAGTGAGTTGCTCAACTTATGCTGAAAGTGACTTTCGTGAGTCGACAACGTAATTCGTTGCACTGAGAGATTAGTGTCAATATACGTTTACGCTCTGTCGCATCAATTGCTATGCAAATTTTCGCGGACCCACGCACACCTAAGGAAGTAACCATGCATTGTGAAAAAAAACGAGGCAGCCTCTGCAAAGCTGTGAGCAGAAAAAGCACGTGCAACTGAATATGCGACAACATCAAGTTCCCAATCACAGCGGGCAAATCTCGCGGTAATTTTAACACTTCGTAGAGCGCCTGTTCAAGCTCGCAAAATTCGCTTATAAATAAACCTCGTGGGGTAACACTGCTCATTGGTTATGCTTAGTTGCTTCGCGCGCTCTGATTGGCTGAAGTTCACTTCAACCCTTTAATTCACACCTGAGGATGGCTTTGCGCGTGGCTTATTAATAGTCCTTAGAAAGCATTTGTTTCAGTACGTATCCGGCTCGCGCACAGGAGCACAACAAAGGAGTTCGTATCAAGAAATTTCGCCAGTCTCGGCCAAAATCAACCTCGAGTAGAAATCAAAAGGACAAGAAGTGTCAACAGACGAAAAGTAACGCTACAGAAGTCACACTTGCCAGTTTGTTGACGGTTCTTTTCACTTCACTTTCGAGTCATGGTGATGCATGAAGTTGGGAGGACGTTGTGCGAGAGCTGCAACAGGCTTCGAAGACGAGAAATGGTCCATAATAACATACACAGTGAAAATTTTGAGCCATCTGAGCTTAAGGTCGGAAGACTCTTAGGCAGTGGCGGCTTTGGATCCGTTTACGAGGCAAGCTATTGCGGGGAGCGAATAGCTGTTAAAAAGCTTCATCAGGGAACAAAGAATGAGAGAGCTGCACTGGAAAGTTTCGAAGCTGAAAGCTCCATTCTACATTTCAGACATCCGAACATTGTGCGAACGCTCGCAGTGTTGACTATAATGGAGACTCGATGCATTATAATGGAGTTCGCCGGCGAGAGAAACTTGCAAAGCGTTATCAACGATCCATTTGAGGAGTTGGATGCAAATCGGCGCAGAAAATTTTCCTTGAACATTGCAACTGCTTTACGATTTGCCCACCAGCAAGGGTTGGCACATCTGGACTTAAAACCGGGAAATGTGCTCGTCACCGCGGACGATCAATGCAAACTGGCGGATTTTGGGTGCTGCCGCGCGGTGGAGGAAAACAATAAGCCAGCCAGCCCGACAAAATCGAACTTGACTGGAACTTACGCTTACAGGGCACCGGAACTCCTAAAAGGCGAAAGCCCGACAACAAAGGCGGACATTTATTCGTACGGAATATGCTCGTGGCAAATGCTGAAAAGGGAACAACCGTATGGTAACGAGAATCAACATGTTATTATTTTTGGGGTTGTCGCCTATCAGTTGCGACCCGAATTGAACGACGAAATTACAGAAGACGAACAATATGTAAATTTAATCAGACAATGTTGGCAAGCAGAGGCCAAGTTTAGACCAACAGCCTCCGAGATCGTTGCCAAGCTCCTACGAATCAAGGCTGAGACAGATTTCAGCAACGAACGACGGAACGAAAAGCTTTGCGATCACCAGGTGTGTCTCCAAAACAGCAGACTGCACTAACTGCACTTGAAAAACATTGTTCACAGCAATGGACAACCTATTTTGTCTATTTTCCCGGAACTTCAAAATAATGTTTTTTAGTTAAATGACAAGCGATTGTGAACTCGCAACGTGAGTACCCCAAGACTTCTTACCTACCATTCGAAAGAACATTTAATTGAAAATTTTTTTTTTCTTAGTAAAAAATGAAGTTATATTAATTGTAAACATTTGTGTAAAAATATTTCTTACACGTAAACGGCGCTCCTGCCAAGCCAAAAATAATATTTTAATTTTCAATAAAAGAATGCAACAATTTGCAAATTAACTGAGTGCGTTTGATTTTCGGTCGTATCATGGTCCATTGGGTTTTTCAAGCGAAATATTTTGCTTGCATGCAAGGATCCCATTTCTCACGAAAGGTAAAAGCCTACTCTTTTGTTCCAGTCGGTAGGAATTACTTTTGTGCATTGGTAATGATAGCACAAATATTCCAAAGCTCTTGGAAACAGATTGACCGATAATAGAAAACAAAAAGACGTTAAGGCCGTTATTAGACATAAATCTGAGAGAAATCTCGAGAGAATGTAGAACTTGGCGTCTTTGGCAAAATCCGGTGAAGCTTTATTTCATTTTTGGTCTAATCTAATACCCCCCTGGAGACACTTTTGTTAAGGCCACGTTCTTATGGCGACAGCCCTCTGCAGAAGAACCTAGCAAAGCCTATCGGATATTGGAAAAAAGTCGGCCCATATAAAACGTAACATGACTCACGAGAAATAAATCAAAGCGCGCAAATCTTGAAAATGATATGCACGCTCTCAATTTGCCGCCGACCGCTTTACCGATTTTATTTCCAAATCGCAAATGCTAACCCTCATTTCAACAAAGAAGGCAAATTTGCATTTGCAGCACAAAAAAGTCTTTGTCGTTGACCAGCTGTAGTTGTCCATTAGAATCAATAATGCCTTTTGCAACCACGGTACAAGAGCCCAGCAAGTTGTGCGCCAACTTTATTGTTAAGTCACCTGTTGGAGGCGTGGCACGTATTGATCGTACGTTCGATTAGTGCGCTGATTGGTCAAAGAGACAATAACATTAATTTTCTTAATAGACGACGCGTGCCGTAGCGCGAGCTGTTCATAAGTGAAGCCGCAGAACAGAAAAAAAAACAAGAGCCCTAGATTGTCTGACGACTTAAATCAACCTAAAAATGATCCACAAGTGGCTGAGTATCAGTACGCTTGGCGCTCGATCGATCACTTTCGAGAGCGCAATCTTAAGAGCATAAAAATAATCGAGCTAACTGTGCATAATTAGAGCTTGTCTTTGCAGTGCAGAGCTCATTAGACAGCCTGGCTACAACTCCAGCCCGAGAAAGCCTCGTATTTATTTGCAGAGTTTCGTTACGAGAATTGCAACCATTCTCGAGCATTCTCTTGCCATCAAACGCCTCTGTCCGTTTCACTTAATCAAACACACGAGCAATAAATCGTAACCCCAGGGAACCATTCAAACCGAATAAAAAATCCTGCTGGGTTTGCAGGTTTAGGGAAAAACGACGAACCAATTACTTATGCAGAAAACGTGCAGACAGCTAATAAATTGAAAAACCCAGTCCAATCAAACATTAGACCCTGTTTCATTACATTGATCGCTCTAAAATCATGAGTTTAATAACGTTTTGCGCAGAATAAACTCGACGTTTCCGCATAAAATTGGTACGATTTTGGCAACCAGTTATTCACCCAAGCTACCAGAGGCATCACTTCTAAACAAACGGATAAGCCAATGCTCCCTTCCGTTGTTTGGAAAAGACTTTTTAAAAATAGGCAAAGTAAATAATTGACTGTCAGCTTACTGATTAATGGAGTTCCGAAATCTCTTTTGTTGCCGCGCCGAGCCACGCTGTCGCTAGGTAACAGTAGAAGCCGATCTAATTACAATTTTGCTAAGAGGAAGTGTGAAACTTGATAAAACCGGAATTTTCAGTCGTGAAGACTGGTTGCTCACAGCAATACTACGCCAGAAGGCGATTAAACGCAGATAATTTTCTACGATTATTTCTTCGTAAGAGATAAAATCGACCAAGAAATTATGTGTATGATTGAAGTGTAAACGACGGATGGACCTCGAATTAATTTGAAGACATTATGTTACGAAGTGGGCATTTTGAGCTGAAAGGAAAGCGAGAAAGTAAATTGACAGCATTGAGTTGAAATTACTGAATTTGTTTTTAATAAAAGCGTTTGGTGAATGTAAATTGATCTAAACCTGGAGCAGAGCTGTCAAAAACGACTGACTGATTTTACGGGAGCAAAAAATTACACAAAAATCGTGAGGAAACTTCACCATAATTCGCTTTTCCATTCAAGCGCGTTCTCAATAATTTAAACATCCGCTGAAGGTCAAATTATTAGCTTCTCAAGTCCAGCTTAAACAATGCTCTCTTTGGGCAAGAATTTTTGTTATTAAAAACTTAAAATGAGTTTATTTACATTCGCACGACAGGTGGAGTCAGAAGCTGGCGAAGCGATCAGATGAAACCGCATCAGCGAACTTAGATATCAGCACACTAGTAACCTCTTTTATCATTAACCCGAAACTAGGAGCAACAGATGGCAAATGAAAACAAAAGAATACGAAAAGTAGAAAAAGGCAAAAAGAGAAAAAAAAAACCCCACGCAGGTTACTAAGTAACAAAACGAAAAGAAACAAATGTTTAGGTTTTGATCGGACCAAAAATAAGAGAAAACGGGCAATCTAAAATCATCTCAAATGTTTTTTGGTTTTGTTGTTGTTAATTCATGAAAAACAAGCATTAAAATCTTGGCGGTCATCCAATAGACACAAGAAAGTTTGAAGCGGGTGGTAGTCATAGTATATCTTAACAAAATGATAGAGGCGGTTTTTTTTAATAAGGCTTCTCTGGAAAGATAATTTGCCAAATTGTATTTTCATGCTAACTTAGCGTAACTTAATACTGCTTTTAAGAAGAGAATAAGTTGACTCTCTTTGTTACCTTCCATCAAAGATCACGAAAAAACTTTCTCTCTGTCTCTTTGAATGAGCGAAGTTGAGTTTCATCGCTGAACTCGCAACGGCTAAATTAAGTGCGATTCCCTTTCACGCAAGTGTGAAATTTCACACATTTTCAATGTAGAGTCTGCAACAGCAGCTGTGCAACGGAATAAACAAAAAGCGATGTGTTTTGAAAGCACGCGGCGTATTGTTCGCAAACAACTGCAAGAATTTGATCCCAAATGAAACTGTGCAACGACAGTTACCTTTCGCGTAACTAACAATTCAGTGGTGAAGTGTGTCGCTTGTTTCCTCGGTTCGCAATGTGCGAATTGAGTGCTTGTTACATTAGCTTCGAGCACGTGAAGCGTGCGGTTGCTATGTGGTCTCGACTTGCGCAAGGCTTTTGAATTCAATGAGGTTTTTAGCGGCTTTTTTTTTTTTTCACAAAATGAAACAGCCACATGCTTAATGGATGTTAAAATCGAAGAGGTTCTCACGGAGTCAAAACAAACTACTAGGTTTCCGTGGGGTTTGTGGTTCAATGAATCGAGGATAGTGGACTTTGTAGTCTCCCGCGGTGAGATGTAGGATTTACTGTTAAACAGAATACTAAAATGGTTTGAGCTTTTAGACAATAGCCAAATATCAAATCATTGTTTCGGATTGGATACCTGAGTGATGAAGAGTATATTGTCTAAGCTCCATGATCAATCGTAAAATATCAAAATAAACACAATTCTGTCTAAATGGCAAACTCCTGGAGAGAAATGCATCAAGTGCCGAGAACATCTCTTATTACTTTTTTAACCTATTCTGTCTGTCATACAATTCTTAGGTTTGTTTGGAGAATTTGGTATTGGATCAACTCATAATTCCCTAATTGATATTTTTCTTTGACCATATCACTTGTCTGTTTAGCCCCGTATTTACAATGTGGGGAGAAATTCTGTCTTGATCACTTATGAGAGTTAGAGGGTCTACCAACATCAAGATAAATATCCTTTACGACTAAAATTTGCGAGGAATTCACAGTGTTCTGTCCTCGTTACTCTGACTAGGTTGCACTGTCACATATCACTTGCTGAGCGAGGAAATATAGACAAAGAAAAAAAAACCTAAGAGGAACCCATTAGCTAAAAAGATGGCTTTCAAATACTGGTTGCTTCTTTTGCTAGTGATGTTGATCGGTCGGTAAGAATCGGAATGTTGTCGGGCACTCGAGTTTTGGCGAACTGGTCAACTGTACTGTCCAATCAAAGTCACACGTGATTTGTCACATTTGCACCATGCTTATGTAAGGCAACCCAGCTTTAAAAAAACGCTTGTTTGCCAAAGTCAGATTGACCCACAGACAACAAGAGTAAACCACAGAAAGGAAGTGAAAAAGAAAATAAACAATCTTCCAAATAAAGTTAGGACATGCGGTCTCCAATTTGCTCATTATCAATACTTAATTTTTCATATTTTGTCATAACTTTTGAGAAACACTGTAACTTATTCCAAGGGTTTTCAGCGATTTAATTTAATGTTATTTGCTGGCACGCCTTTCCAGAGTCTATGCCACTCAGACTCACAAGAAAAGACGTCTTTCTACAAAGAACTAGATAAAAATTTTGTTCGCTTTTTAAAGCTCCTAAAATTTCATATCATTTGTGATGTGCCAGGTTTAACTGTAAAAAAAAGATATATTTTTAATTTCATCGGACTCAACTTATTTTCTATCTAGTGTCAAAACTAAAGAGCACAGATCTATCACGATCGTTCGGATTGACATCTGTATAACATCGGATAATTAACAACTATTCACCGAAGTGGTGGTTAGTGATGGATATTTACCGAGCCGCGAAGCGGCGAGGTAAATATCCACCGCTAACCACCATCACTGAGGTGAATAGTTGTTTTAGTATATACTAAAACAGTGCGATAATATACACCACCGTCGTTAATTTGAGTGATTTCTTCTCTTGTCACGGATGCAAACCGGGACGCCATTTTTTCCCGAGTTGCTCGGAGGTAAGTAGCAAAGAATATTCGGAGTTTGACTAGCCAATCAGAGCGCGCCTTCAACGCTATCCACTGTTTTAGTATATACTAACATCGGATAGCATCGGTACACCATCGGATAGCATCGGTACACCATCGGATAGTCCCGATCGTGCGTGTCGCCACTGGTCGTCTGGGTAGTGTTTTCATATAATGTAACGTTCGTCCAAGTCATCATTGATCGTCTGAGTAGTAATTGGTCTTTTTTCTTCAAGTGTTTTGAAATGAAAGAGTGTTCATCGAGTGTGGAAATGTTTGCATAAAATTCTACTTCGACTATTTGCTCATTAGTACAAACACGAAGAACAGGGAAAAGAATTGCGACATGCAGACATCGAAAACCAAATAATTGCTGAGATATAATCGAATAATAAAGGAAAATATATGCTACGACTCGCTTCAAAATCAAATATTCAATACGCTACACCTGCTACAGATGAATTAAATTTTCTGCGCTAATTCATGGTGAGGTTATATAAAGCTTTAATTTCAAAGTCAGTCCAACTAAAAATTCAATCATACATTTAACAATATACCCCGACTAGGACCTTTAAAGGAAATATTTGACCACCTTTCCAGAAAAATATTGTACGCACACAAAGCATCAATTTCAAGGAGGATCTATCTAAAAGATCAACCACGGTTAATCAAAGTAATTTACATTATGATTTGAATATGACCATTAATGGAAATATCAGACTGTCTTTCCAGAAAATATTGCGTCTATTTATAAGGGTATAATTTCTTTCTGCTAGCAGCCCCGAGGCATTTTCTTATAATAAACGGTTTTCTGAAAAGGTCGGTCGTAGTATTCCTGTGTGAAAAGGGGATTTTTCTGACCAGAAGATTGAAGTGAAATATATGATCAGACCACAATGACAAATGACCCTCGAGAACAACGCTTCGGGGTTAGAGTTTTCTCTCGAAGTAACAAAGAAAAAAAAAAACGTGAACAACCAGAAGCCTGGGAAAATGCACGAGTTCCTGCAGTCTGTGCACGAAGTTGCGTGCATTACCTTGGAGACCGTTACTACATGATAACAACGTTTACACAACCGCAAAATTATCAAAACGAAAGAGAAATATTTCGACACCCACTTGAAATTAACAGCCACTTCTCAGACGAGGGAAGTTTATTCTATGTATAATATAACACTAACTTCAGAAAGGCACTTAAGGGGTTTTAAGTGATTCCAAACAAACCAACCCGTGTGAACTTGCTTCATCTCCAGTATTGACTTTGCAAAGAGCTGCTAATTGGATTTCTCTTCTGCCAACCGCTGCACGGAATTGGAAAAGAAAAGAAAGATTGCAAAAGGGAAAAAAATTCAGTTACAGCCCTATTAATTTGAAATATCGATCGATTAAAGGCAGATGGAAAGTTCTTTTGAGTATTAATTTCGTGCGCAAGCGCCTTACGAAGAAGCGCAGATGGTATGCTAGAAATGAACACGATAAGTAAAGTGAATTGAAAGAGAAAACATTGATGCTGAATATTTTGATTGATTGGACATTTCATAACCACGAAAATGGAACTACTAATATCCATCTCGCTCTGACATGAAATTGGTATCATTAACGCTCTGTTACACTTCATCTCAAACGTCTGAGTTGCGTAATATATGGGTATGCAATAATCGTAGTTATTAACGACAAGAAAATATCGATCGATCACGAAAACAAACGCTTCAGGATCATTTTGCTACAAGATCCTGCTAGTCTAGAGGAGACCACTGAAAATTCTCTTTAGACTTCCCCCAATTCTCACAAGCCTGTTTTTCCGTGACCATTTCACCCGGGCCTTTTCCGCGCGTTTTCACACAAGAACCAACAATAAATCATCCTAGAGGTAAACTGTTTTACACGTCGCATTAAGAACGATTACTCTAAAAATGGATCAAATCCAAATAGTTAATAGACCAAACTAGAAACAGGAAATGTCATTTTAAAATTACAATGAATGCCATTACTTTAAAAATGGAATAAATCCAAAATATGTTACAATAAAAGAAATGATTATGAACGTCATTAAAAAAGACAAAGAGAGTGGAGAGTGTGTTAGTCACTTGACATCTGTTACAAGTACACACACTCATTTACTTGATCTGTTTTTTTTTTTTTTTACAACAGCTGTGTTAGTATCAACTCTAAGTATACTAGGATTAATATTTTACATTTGTCTAAAATCAGTGTATCATTGACAAATGGTTCTTTTTTGGAAGACATCAATTTTTATATGGTAAATGAGGGAACACTTTAAAAAGAAAGTTTCGCATTTTGCCACACCTTAGAAGAATTTATGTAACAGTTTCTAAATTTGGAAATATTTAGCCTGAATTTTGCAAAAAGATCTTATGCAAAGGGAGTGACTCTTTTCCTTCTGTAAACATCTTTGATACCAGAATAAGAAAGATGATAAGTTCTAATTTCAGTAAAGAAGTTGAGAAGGAATTTTTTTGGTCTTATCACAAGCATGGAACAAAGAAAAAATTCTGAGTTCCCATGAGGAATCAAACCTCAGTCCTTCTGATTCCACACTGATGCTCTACCATTGAGCCAAATAGACTCAAAGGTTAGCAATGCCCATTTCAAAGTTCATATCTGACAAGTGTTCTGCACACTGCTAGAAACAGCGATGTCGATAGTGTCATGTCTTTTAAATAGATAAGAAAGATAGCAAGTTTTAAGCTCAGTACACAAGTTGAGAAGGATATTTTTCGTTGTTTTTCATTGCATTGTTACCTGTAATATTAGTGTTTATCTCCCCTTTCAAAATATAATTTCAAAGTTTTATTCTATGCTTCTATGTTCTCTGTAATGCTAATAGTGACTCAAAATGTCATCATGGCACAGCAACTTTACAGCAAGTTTACAGGAGAGAGAGAGGATCCTATTAATGACAATTACTTTACTTATGTCGCTAAAGCCCATTTCATGTTACTCTCACTTTAGATGCCTCTAACTTAGGTTATATTAGCATTCAACCCATTCACCTCGAAAAGTGACAAGCATTCAAAATCTCCTGAAAGTAGTGCCACTGAATCAAATGTTAGGGTCAGGATAATTTATAAAAGAAATGATTGGCAACTAAAGATGCTCTTGATGATGAACTGATATATTCTTCTTGTATTGGAGAATGTATTGGAGAACAGTATGAAGAATATGCATATTGTTGTTAGGGTTCAAAAGGTTGAATGGAACCCTCAAAGACAATTATTTTAAGTGACTCAAAATGACAAAGCAAATTTTACAGCAAACTGAAGAGAGAGAATCCTACGAACTAGGTTGACTGCTCTTCTTAGGTCACCAAAACTCACTCTATTTTATCCTCACTGATATTACAACATGTTGCAAAGTTTTGGGGTCAGGTGACCTAGTAATCGAATATCAACTAGGGGACAATTTATGGATCCAACACTAAATCTTCGGAATTAATGTTGGAAAAAATACATAAGGCAGACAGTAAGAAGAATTACTGTTAATATCCTAGGAGTGAAAGGGTTCATCTTTGTGTCGGTCGCAGTGTTGATAGTGAATCTGTTGACGTAATGCAACACATGCATTGGTAGTAAAAAAACACAAAACAAATACAGAAACCCTCCCCACGGGGCGTGGGGTGTGGAGGGGATATATTTGATATGCATACCTCCTGGTCAAGTTCACGTCTTCGTTACAACACTTAAGGTTCTAATTCTTCTGTCCACCACTATAAAAGTATTCTCATCCTTAACTACGTAAACCTTGTTTTGAAAAACGTTACGAATACTACGAGTACCTCATAGTAACTCTTAGTTGTTGTGAAGTGCTTCCTTGAAAAGTTGACCCGCTTGCCTTTGCATGCTGCTTGATCCTTTAATGGAAAAGTTGAGAAGGGATGCTAGCTGCACGAGAGAACGGCTTATCAAAAGAATGTTAGCAGTGATAAATCTTCTACCCTTTGCAGAGTTTTCATCAGAAGCACGCCGCCATGTTTCGAACTGGTTGTCACGTAAAGCCTCGTTTTGCTTGAGCGACATGATTGGCTCTCCGAAGGAGTATAAATAAGTCGCGTCCAAATTCGAATCACACAAACGAAGGTAACATGGCAGCTGGCTTTGTTTACTGGATAGCTGAAGAAAAATTGCAGGAAATATATAAAGTTTTTCAGCTATTTAAAGATCACGACGGCTGGAAAGGTTAGATAGCTTGCGTTTTAATCCTCGGTAATGTTCTAGGAAAGGATGTCTGCGATGGAACTGCATACATAAGTCTACGTCTATACAAATGAATAAAGGCTGATAATTTCGAAAGAAACTGTTTGGGGTTGCGTCGGTGGGAGTAACGAAATAATTTGGATATATCAACAAAGTTGAAATGGTAAATTGGCCACCGTAACGATTACAAAAGCTGACGTTTCGAGCGTTAGCCCTTCGTTGGAGCGACGAAGGGCTAACGCTCGAAACGTCAGCTTTTGTAATCGTTACGGTGGCCAATTTACCATTTCAACTTTGTTGATATATCCAAATTACTACGTCTATACAGCTTGAAACACATGAAACGTTTGTCTGATCTGTTTTACACATTATTCTAATCAAAAACTCGCTCCAAATCTCTTAATATATCAGCACAATAGAAGATCGAAGGTTATTCAATCGACTTTTACAATGAGAAAGAACCTAGCATGTAGACTGGAACTCTTATATATATAAGTCAAAATAAACGTGACACCGCTGTAATTTCTTATTTCAAATCTAAGCTTAAACATGCATTTTAGGTAAATATGCATTGTCAAGTGGAAGTAAGTTTTTATTCTCACCTAGTTTTTTTGTTTTTTTTACTCTTTTATCATGTTTAGTTTTTTATTTAATTGTAATTTATTTGTGGAATTTGCAGGGCCTTACTGAAGAGCGCCTTTTGGTGAAGTGGGCTCCCTGTTAAAATATTGTTATTATTATTTATTATTATTTATTATTACAAATGGTATCATTTGCATTCGAGGAGTTTACCATTAATAGTATGAGGCGATTTTCAAAATTTTCAGATGATACCCAAGCCTCAACTTATCTTGCCTTTGGATGTCAAAGCTACGACTTCACAACAAATCCTTTCTCGAAACAAGTAAAATGGCAAAGCCCAACAGAATTTATCATAAACCTCTATAGGGAACATAGCACAAAAAAGCCATTCTGTGATTCCATCTTTGATCTGAAAGAACAGCTGATAGCTCTTCAGCTGGTTATGGCACATCTCAACAAAGAGGTACAAAAAGTTCTCTCTGTCCTAAAGAAGGACGGCAAGATTAACAATTTATAATAAAAAAACTTAACACGTCCCTTTATTCCAGTGAGGTAATTACTAGTCAACCTTTTAGATACTCCTTACTCTTCATTTTAGCGATCTCTAAATTAATTTTAACTTTCCACTCTGCCTTAACCCCTTAAGTCCCAGAAGTGATTATCATGTAATTTCTCCCTTATCCAGCAAATAGGTAATGGGAATACTCAAACTTATCAGGTAGAAGTTGTCCTCTCGATATAACACCAAATTCTTACAAGTAATTTACAAGGAAATATGCAGCAGCAAAAGGGGAGAATTAACACTCAGATCTTGAGAGTTAAAGTGTTTAAGATACTTAGGCTCTGTTTTTTTTTTTTTCAGAAGAGTTCATACATGATTTACTCAGTTGATAAAACCAAATTATTGCAAAGCTTGCTACACTGTAATTTTAGATTTTCCTTCCCAATATATGAAAAGCCTCCTGAAATCAAGGACACTCTAGAGGTTTTGCATACAAAATAATATCTAATAAAAGACAATTCTGTTTCTAAAGATTTGTACATTGTACAGGTGGAAGAACAATAGGACATGCAGTCCCCTACTAGGTTTATCCACCTAAACCCAACCCACCCATCCCACCCCGGGGAAGGACATCCATCACACAGTAATCTTGTGCGTGGGAAATTAACGTCTCCTACCCCTCCTGCAGGAGACGGGACCACCATTAATTTTATTCGTCCCTATCTGAGAAGACTAGAATATCTAACCACTTCTTGATGTTATAGAAGGGAAGCATAATTCTTCTCAATTATTTTAAGACCTTGAGTGTTGGTCCGGCCGTGGCTTGAACCCTCGACCTCCCACACAACTGTCCAGCGCTCTATCCATTGAGCTAACTGGGAGGCGGTCAGTGTAAGTGGCACCAAGCTTTTGTAACCATCCGGTCAGTCTTAAAAGATCGATATGATGATGATTTGTTGACAGAAATATTGATAATGGCTCTATCTTTTTTCTTTAAGGAAGCCGGGGAGTTTACAGTGAAATTACATGATGTACTTGAAGCCCACAAAGCAGTCATGAATTATAAGTTGTCAATGGATGAAGAAAAAAATTCAATTTCTAGGTTATGCACTCCTTATANGTTTCTGAGAAAACAGTTGATACATTCCTGGAGCAAGATGTGCCAGTAGATGTGCTTGATGACCAGTTACTAAAACAATCTCCAGAGCACAGGAACCCTAATCCTCCTCTATCTCATTCATTTTCACAAGAATCGTTCGCGCAGGTAATTTTAAACATCAAGAAACTAGCTTTGAAATTCAGAGAATCCCTTCACTGGCTTCAGAAAATCCATATTTATTTGTTTGGTCCTTTGCATCAATGGGGATGGTCTAGCAGAGTGATTTTGGGGTTGAAATTAGTGGGGTAAAAGAGGTAAAAGAGATTAAAAGAGTCACTGTCAGGCTCTGCAGCTTCTCTTGTGGCTATGTTGCCCAATCATGGAGTGGCATTGGTGTCCACAGAAGCTGCAGGGATGGAAATGGCCAGTGGGTGTGTAAGTTTGGGGTCATTTTCAACATTGGCAAAATATAAGTTATGAACTACTAAGTGAGTATAATTTAACCTCTAGCATATAAAATGTGGATAATTCAATGAAAAATTGAAATCAGGAAAAAATTAAATCACTATAATTAATTACCAATTGTTGGAATGCCATGGTCTCAATTTTTACCCACAGTGAAAAATTATGTTAATCACTGTGTATTGTCTGCTAATGAAGAAAGTTTTCTGAGAAAACGTAGTAAAATGCTTCTGAGTTTTTTAACCATGATTAAAACAGAGATTTGTTTTAAATGATCAAAGAAACTGGTGCTATCAGGGAAATCTTCATCCCCTTGGGTAATCTAGTATTTAAAAAAAAAAAAAAAAAACAGGAGTAAAGGAACATATATGTTGTACTTTTAGTACATACTGTCCCAAACCACCTTCAGCTATTGTTAGTACAAATGAATAAAGGCTGATAGTTTCGAAAGAAACTGTTTGGGGCTGCGTTGGTGGGAGTAACAAAATAATTTGGATATATCAAGAAAGTTGAAATGGTAAATTGGCCACCGTAACGATTACAAAAGCTGACATTTCGAGCATCAGCCCTTCGTCATTTCAACCCTTTACCAGTTCAACTTTATTGTTAGTACAGTTTGGTTGAAAGCTGGATTGTTCAGTCCTGAGCTAAATAGCCATCTTCTCAGTGCTGATTTCTCTGAGGGACAGCCTTATCCACATCGGCAACATTGTTCAGTAGACTCCCGATACCAACAAGAAACATTTTAGAACATGTTTTTTGTCGTAGTGCTAAGAAACATTTGTTTGCTAAATATTGGTCTTTAATCCACATAATATGTATTGTATATTTTAATATCTCACAATAAGTTACATTGATTAATTTTATTATTGTTATTATACTTTTAATTAGTTACTACATATATATATTAGTATTGTTACAGAAGAAGAGCCTCTTAATTGTTGGAATCTGTAATAAATCAAAATAAATCAAAATAATAATAAATTTAAAAAAAAATTTGAACTAGTGTGAAGTTAGGCATACCCTGTGAGCAGAGCCTTTTCTTCTTTACTTCTTCTTTTCTTCTTTTTAATCGATTCGAGGACAGGTTAGAAAGGCTCTGCTCGCAGGGTAAGTTTAAGGCATGGTTGACTTAACAAGTGATTTGTTGATTTGTTTAATATTGTACACGTTGTTTTGAAAACAGGATCAATTGCTGAAAGTTTATCTGAGTTACCTCAGGCTTCTGGTGAATTCGAGAGATGAACTAGCTTTGTCTCAGGCCATCAATATCCCTCACAGGGACTTGGCTCATAAACAATTTACAGTATTGAGGAAAGTTGCAAGGGAAAAAAACATGCCTATGTTTCAGGTACCACTCAATTTCAGGTGTTTCATTAAGGAATGGGCACTGAGCAAATTGACCACTTGTAAGGAAGTTTTTGCCCACCTGATTTGACCATTTAGAGGAAAGTTTATCTTATAAAGAAGTTAAGTCCAAAGAGTTTTGCCTGCCTGTGAAAACCAGTTGCTCCCTTGCTGAAAATGTAGATGAAACCC